CAATGACGAAGAACCAAGCGACGTCATCCGGGAGTGGCCGCCAGTACACGAGTGCCACGATGAGGGCCACGTTGATGAGGAAGCCCAGGGTAAAAACAGGCACCCGCCCCAGCACCTTCACCACAGAACTGAGCCCCATGGAGCACAGAGCGTCACACACACCATAACACACGATCACGTATCCCACCATGTGAACCCCGAGACCACACGACACGTAACCCTGAAACAGTAGAATAATTGGCTGGCAACCAAAGGAACTTGGATTTGATTCCCAGGTGGGGAGACACGAATGAGTATATCCCCTTGCACCGGATGCCTCTATTTACCTAACAGTTAATAGGTACCTGGATATTAGCCGACTGATGTGGGTGACATCCAGGGCGGTAGTAGAGAGTCTAACATAGGAAAGCTTTGCAGTAGGCTGAGATATAACAACTTTTGGATGGCTCAGTATGTAGAGCCATTTAGGATTAGATTTTTTTTGATTTTGCCACCGAAGTGGCTAGTTTATTGTGCACCCCATATCCATCCTGTGGACGGTAGCGCGAGAGCATATGGATACACAGAAGGCCTAGCCATTTAGGGAAAAAAGGAGACACTAACTATTATATATTAGCATTTCTATGTGAAATGCTAAACTCGTCCGGGTCACTCAGGACATGGAGAGGTGAAGGCTCGATTCGCCGTCCTCTAACTACGAGGGAGGAAAACAACGCTACTCCCGTAGCCAGGCTTCTCAAATGGCGCTCGTCAATAGCGCATACATAAACACGCGGGTTATATGTGTTGTTTTATCTGCCTCACCTTGGGCAGGAAACGTATTTGTCTGGCGAAAATGAATAAGATGATGACCCACACAAGCTTAACGCTTCAGAAAAAAAAAACTTCAACTAACGTATACTAGACATTTTTCAACCTCATTTACAGCATCACAGCCACGCTCTAGTGAGGAGATTTCATGTGTAAACTTACTCGCAGATACAAAATACGCAGTATCATGCACTTATTAAAATGGTAAAATAATACTCAAAAGAGAATAAAACAAAGAAAAATCATACACATAATGAATTAAAGTATAAACCCCCAATAAAAAAAAATTAGTTGAATCTAATAAATATTTATAAACGTAATAAGAAAGAAAAATACAACAAAAAAGATAACAGAACAAAAGAACACAGGATATATACACCATGAAGTGTATGTTTTTCATTGTGTATACACTGACACCTTTAATTTCTACTTTATGGATTAAACTATCTGGCTGGTAGTAAACAGGTTACCGCATGACCCTGGGGCAGTCAGAGGCTCATCAACCAACCCACCATCAAAGAAAAAAAGAGAATAAAACAAATATAAGACATAAGCATAAACGACAATAACAGGTAAGTTGCAAGGAATGTTACTTCCTGAATACCAGTGAGAGAGAGGCTGCTGTCTCACTGGTGGCTTCTGTCTCACTAGACAAGTGAGACAGAGGCTGCTGTCTCACTTGTCAACTGGAAAAAAAAGAGAAATAAATATACACATATATGAGTAAAGATATTAAAGGTAAAAAAATATTTACACTAGTCATGACGACAATAAAAATATATTAGTTGAATTGGAAGGGGGAGGGAGGGAAGGAGGATGTAAACAATCAGTCGACATGCGGGGAAGCCTAGCGAAAGTAGGACAAGCATCTGGAAGCTTTAATAGTATACCATGCCGACAAGTTTATGACTGAACCCATGTGCAACACCTAGGTGTCTTTATTCCGAAGACGTTTCGCCCACCAGTAGCTTCGTTAATTCAATACAGAAGTATGTGAGGGGTGATGAAACTAGAGACGGTTGAAGACGAGGTAATCATTCCTTCAGCCTTGAAGGTGATCACTCTAGTATTGTATACCTTCATCGAGGCTAAGGGACTGATTACCTCGTCTTCTTCTGTCTCTAATTTCAACACCTTCACATATCTCAGTATTGAATTGATCAAGCCACTGACTGACGAATTGTTTTCAGAATAAAGATACCCAGGTGTCACCTATGTGTTTTATTCATGAACAATCTTTTACTAGGAAACTTTGGGCTCTGTGTAGAGCTTTCATCAAGTCATGAACCGATAAAGCAGTACGTTATCTGGATCTACCACGAGAGAAAGATGGATGAAATCATCGATTATAATAAACTTAAGACTAATGAAACTTGTTATAGAAGCATTTGAGGACCAGTTACAAAGAATGTTAGAGAATTCAGGAAATTGAAGAATGTATAAGCGTGTGGAACAATGGAGGCTTGATTATCAATCTTTGGAGGAGGAAAATAAGTTGTACTACGGCTTTCACTCTATATTTAGTTATCTCTGGTTAAGTCAAGGGAGACAAGTGCTCAAGTGCCAAGGACAAAGTGATCATGCAAATCCCTAGAGCTAGTTTTGCTACTACTACTGCTATTAGTTCCACTCCTACTACTACTATTACTACTACTTCTACTACTTCTAGTACTACTACTATTACTACTACCATTACTACTACTACTACTATTATTACTGCTGCTAATAACAGTAATAATAATTCATTTCCAAAACAATATTTACAGATGTATTTTATATTTTAAATGTTTGTAGGAGGCACAATCATTTTTTCTCTGGGTAGCACAAGGTCTGCCTCAGACAGGTGTCAGGAACAGCTGTGTCACGCCTACAGTACGATGTCATGCTGATACCTTACTGTTTTATACTGTTTAATACTATAAGGAAGGATATCACTATAAATATAAACAAAAAGCCAGAACATGTAATAGTAAAAACTACAGTTTTTACTATAAGTTATACGAAAGCAAGTAGAACTAGAGGGAAAGATTTAAATATTTGAAGAATAAAATAAGACATGTGTTCAAATATGATATTCCACGTAAGGTTATTAAGTGAATCCAGAATCTGAAATTTGGATTTCTGTATTCACAAAATGATGAATACATGGAAATAAACTCAGGCACGCACACACACACACACACACACAACACACACACACACACACACACACACACACACACACACACACACACACACACACACACACACACACACACACACACACAGGCAGGACTTCAAAGAGACCTGGACAGACTGGACACCTGGTCCAGCAAATGGCTTCTCGAATTTAATCCTGCCAAATGCAAAATCATGAAGATAGGGAAAGGGCACAGAAGACCACAGACAGAGTATAGGCTAGGTGGCCAAAGACTGCAAACCTCACTCAAGGAGAAAGATCTTGGGGTGAGTATAACACCGAGCATGTCTCCGGAAGCACACATCAATCAGATAACTGCTGCAGCATATGGGCGCCTGGCAAACCTGAGAACAGCATTCCGACACCTTAGTAAGGAATCATTCAAGACACTGTACACCGTGTATGTCAGGCCCATACTGGAGTATGCAGCACCTGTTTGGAACCCGCACTTGATAAAGCACGTCAAGAAACTAGAGAAAGTACCAAGGTTTGCGACAAGGTTAGTTCCAGAGCTAAGGGGAATGTCCTATGAAGAAAGATTAAGGGAAATCGGCCTGACGACACTGGAGGACAGGAGGGTCAGGGGAGACATGATAACGACATATAAAATACTGCGTGGAATAGACAAGGTGGACAAGGACAGGATGTTCCAGGGAGGGGACACAGAAACAAGAGGCCACAATTGGAAGTTGAAGACACAAATGAGTCAGAGAGATAGTAGGAAGTATTTCTTCAGTCATAGAGTTGTAAGGCAGTGGAATAGCCTAGAAAATGACGTAGTGGAGGCAGGAACCATACACAGTTTTAAGACGAGGTTTGATAAAGCTCATGGAGCGGGGGGAGAGAGGGTCTAGTAGCAACCGGTGAAGAGGCGGGGCCAGGAGCTAGGACTCGACCCCTGCAACCACAAATAGGTGAGTACAAATAGGTGAGTACACACACACACACACGCACACACACACAGTGCATATGCCAGACGGGCACAGGAGCCAAAGTTCATCCTTCACAAGCTCAGCCCAGTAATTACATATATAATAATCCCACCTCTACTCCGAAAAAATTCACATACAAATACATAATATAGACAAACATTTGCGTAAATACACAAACGTACAACCAAATATCCAACTTAAGCCCAATTATACACATAAGCAATATTCATTATACATAATGGATATAGCTTATGTGTACGCATAATGCACGCATAATGCCCTTAAAGACAAAACAAAAACTATTAGTCTGCTTTTGTAGTCCCAATAATTGAAGTGACATAAAAAACTTCCATATAGAGTACTCACTGCAGTATAGTCTGCGGTGAGAAAACCCTGTTCAAGACCTGACCAGATGGTGAGGGGCACAATGAGCAGCTGGTATGGATGACGCAGATGGTTGAAGGTGGCAACTAGCAGCTGTAAACTGCTTTTACCCTCTCCACCACCACCTACCACTTCCTTAAAGCTGGAAGAGAGCCAAAGTTATTATATATCGCCCCTATAATAATATTACAAGAATAGTTTTGAAAATTAAGCTTACAACAGGCACAGTTTACGTCTTTCAACTTCACGTCGGTAAGTCTTCAGAAAATTGGAAAATTGATGCCCTAACCCCTTCACTTATTCAACCCAAACTGAAATACTAATAAAGCTAATGAACCCATAGAGGAATACCTTGTTGAATATACCTAGCTCTGGGTGGCAGAGTTCATCACCCGATATACAAAATCCATCCTTTGTGAAGGAAAATGACCAGGATACATAGCCTGGTCCTCACTATGCTAATATCACATAGAAGAGGGTAGCAGCCCAGTTGTAATATGTATAAATTTACCTAATAAATAAAATTTTATGACAAGTCACTAGATTAACTCACGAACTAATAGGATCGACGAAGATGATGACGACAACAGAGGAGAGTAGGGAGCAGAGGAGGAAGATAGAAGCTAAGGTGTAAATCTGCCAGAGAGGCGGACCTTCCCTCCCGCCGGAGTCGCTGCTGTTGAGCTCTCTGGTGGGCTCAGAGATGCAGAAGTTGTATCCACAGGACAGTATCTCCGCCTCCGTCCGGTTGACTTCCTCTACACCCACAGACAACACTGTTAGGAAAGAATTAATGAGTGAGAGAGAGAGAGAGAGAGAGAGGAAAACGATATTGACTATATTTTAATCATATATAAAATATAAATAGAGTGGCTCTGTACCTGAGGAAGCAATGAGACTACCCCACACTTGGGTAAACTGGAAGAACATGAAGAAAATGCCGAAGAACTTTGTTATGATAACATCACTGTTCTCTCCCACAAGACTGGCGTATCTCAGCCCAACCTACAACAAGGAAGAGACAATGATGCATCTCCGCGATACTGGCGCATTTCAAGGCAGATCCAATGATATATATTAGAGCTTCATAATTATCAACGTTTCATTGAATTATTAAATACTATTGCCTAGATTGTATTTCACTGAAAAAAAATATAACATCAGATTATTACATAGAAAATACAGTATGTGTCATGAAAAGAAAAAAAAAAGAAAAGTAAACATTTAATGCAGCAGTCAGAACCCCATGTTTAGTGCTACATAAAACAGTAAATCATTTGTTACCGCAAAACAAAACAAAGCAAAAGAAAGAGGAAACTGCAAATATTTTAAATTGATATAGTTGAATATATAATGTCATTAATTCCAGGTGTAAATTTATCATTAAGAAAACCCACCTTTTGCATGTATTAAAATAATTCTGAAGGCAGCAAACCATAAACTGTAGCCAACTGTAAAAATTATTGGTAAGGTGCAGAATTGATTGTATTAAAAAAAATCTGTAAACCACATACAATACATAATTTAAACCCAGAATTTGCCTGCCCTGGCACACCTTGGTTAAGTAAATGCACTTGGAGGCCCAGAGCGGTGCAGCTCCCAAGCCCAGGATGAAGGCTGTAGGTACGAGAGTGTAGATCTCTGGGTAGAACTGAGCTGCGATGTAGGAAGAGTAGCAGAGCATGGAGAGTGCTATCGTGTACTTCTCCTTTAACAACGACAGCAGCCACGACGGCAAGAAGCAGCAGGAGAAGACGAAAGCACCATAAAGAACAGTCAGTGATGCTGTTCCATCTACCCTGAAAATCAGAAGATAGTGACAGTGTGTGTGTGTGAGTGTACTTACCGAGTTGTACTTACGAAGTTGTGTTTGAAGGGGCAGAGTCTAAGCTCCTGGCCCCACCTCTTAACTACAATTGCCGGCTTTGGTGGCTTCTAGCCTCATGGGCTCACACCTACTCTTGAACTGTGTATTGAGTTTGCTACTACCACTTCCTCATCTAGCTCATTCAACTGATACTGAAAAAGTATTTTCTGACATACCAATGGCTCATCTGTGTCTTTACCTACCGTCTGTCATTCCTCACTCGTATTCCTCATAATTCGAAAAAATTGTCCATATACTCTGTCAAATTATCTGAGTATGTTGTACGTCGTAATCATGTCCCCCCGAGGATCATCTTCTTTAGCCTCTGGGACAAGTCAGATTTCAAACTTCTCAATTTTTTCGAGATTTCTTACATGGGACCTCTATGATGGGGCTGCATACTCTATGTGTACTCCCAATATGTAGTTGCTGAGGTCGCGACTCAGCTCCTGGCCCTTCCTCTTCGCTGGCAGGACCTGGGTTCACTTTCTCTTGTTTTCAAGAGCCTTATTGTACCTCGTTTATAAAACTATGTATGGATCCTCCCTCTACTACTCAACTGTCACAGGTCATTCCTCTTTCTGAGCACTCTAAGGCTGAAGAACTACTTCCTAACATCCCTGTGAATTATCTGTACTTTCAACTTCTAGTTGTTCCCTCGTGTACTTGTTTCCCGCGTGTGTGTGTGATTATGTGTGGTTAAGAAGTAATGAATAGATAGAAATAATCGATGCGCAGTCTGCGTAACCTGTGTGTGAGGGTGATAAGTTTGGCCAGCAATAAAAGTACAGTAGTTTGTGTTTCAGCTGAGAGTTTGTGCTTCAGCTGAAACAGTTTGTGCTTCAGTTAAGAGCCGTGTAAGTGTGGCTACCACAGTGATTCATTATACTACTTGGGTAGTATCTCAACTGGATCAAAATCTTAACTACCTATCTAACTACCAACCTGTACATTATATTTCAACTGAAGACTTGCGACATGGCTTAACCTTATTCCTACCTATCTACGTATCTCATATACTCTCTCTTTATTTTCCTCTCCCTTTTCTTCCCATCTCTCTCACTTTTATCCCCTCCCTTAACCCTCCCTCCCTCCACCCCCCTCCCCCCCTCCACTTGCATCACAGGCCGGGAAGCCCCTCATAAGAAACCAAAGTTTTCCTATTATTAAACCATGTTAAAACTGTGTAAGTAGTTATGTATTTGCAAATAAACTATTTGTAATTACAGGAGCAGAACTGTGCTCATGGTGTCCATTCTTCTGTATTTATTTCATCATATGGATATGTGTATATATACACATACACACAAATACTGTACATACATACATACATATATATGCAGGACAAGCCACGGGGGGGAGGGAGTGGAAATCTTTAGCTGAAGTACTTTCACACTTCTCAGTGCTTCATCAGGAGCTGTGCAATGTTGCAAGGGAGCAACCAAAAACAGGAAGAAAAGTCTCAGAGTAGCGGGGGTTCCCCGGCCACGGTTCCCCTTTAACGGGGTTGTGGTCGGTGCCAACCCCCCACCCTACCTCATCCCCCCCCTGCCCATGGGGGTAGGGGGGTTTTTTGAAATGTCAATAGGAAATTAAAAGATAAAAAAAAGCCACCCTAAGCTTTTTCAATCTTTTATAACGGGTATGTGGTTTGAGAAAATAATTTTAACAGCCCCTGAGTTTTGGGGGATTAGCGTGGACTTTTACAAAGCAGGCTTGTTCTACAGGTTTAAAAAAGCTGGGGTTTGGGAGAGTTGAAGGAGGAGGTCTTGCTTCTCCAGGGGGGAGATTAGGGGCTAAAGGTCCCCCTAAAAGGGCCTGGGAGAGAGTGTAGGTGGTTGGAGATGGGGGAAGGGGCTTTAGCAGTGAGGCAGTCTGTCTCTCACTGTGAGGGGCTGTGGGTGGGGTGGTAGCAACGGCTACCAGCAGTGAGGTGCACCCCCAGCACCTGTCAAGTGGGAGTTTTCACAGAATGGGAGGCGCTCGAGTAAGGGAAAAGTTAAAGTGAGACTGAAGGTGGAAATCGCTTCTCTGTTCTCCGGGATGAATGACTTCAGGCCATGAAGGGTAAGGTACTACTGCCCGCAATAAGGAAGCGCAAATTCTTGTGGGGGTGACCTCAGAAATTGTTGTGGGCTTTTTGATAATAAGAAAGAGAGAGATAGATGGCTTCCCCGGGAGCGGGTTTTGGGGGACATTGTCAACGACTGGAAAATTATCATGTCAGGTAAGGGAAAAGCCCATTACTGTCTCATGCTGGTGGAAATGATATTGGGAAGGTAGGAGAGAAACGCTAGTAATCAGGTCAGCTTTAGATTTCTTAAGTCAAAGGGGAGGGATCCCAATCAAAAGTAGATCTTGCCTAGAAGGGGATAGGAAATAAGGTTGTCTAGGGCAATTGGTAAAATTTGCTGGTAGACAGATACTGCAAGGAACTTGCAATCCCCATTCATTGACAAATGGAAAACTTTTATGGCAAACAGAATGATGCAAGGATGGGGTTCATCTCTCGGGGGCGGGGGTGGTAGCACTTGCAGACTCGATTGGAAGGCCTTTGGTGAAAGCCTATGTTTTTTAAACTGTGGAAGAAAGAGGTATGGGTGTTGGGAAACAAGCGGGTTGCAACCTGGGTTTGAAACATAAATGTATAAAAGGCTTTCACTGAAGTTATAAAAAAAGAAAATAGAACAGGTCAGAAAACAAAGGGGACAGCAGAGGGAAAGCAAGGGATGCTCCCCTTAAAGGGTTTTACTAACTAATGCAGGAGTGTTAAAAAAATAGATGACTAAGATAATTGCAGTGCGGGAAACTAGAATATGGCATAACAAGACCTGCTCAATCTGAAAGAAAAGGAGTGCCCTCTAAAAGTCACTAAAAGGGCAAAAAATTATTCCACACTGACAGGGTCAACAGGAAAGGTGGGGGAGTAGCGATGTTGCAAGACTTTTAAATTTGTTGTTTAGACAAGATTTTAAATTGAAGCGACCCAGAACTGTTTGGTTACAGCTTCTCGGGGGCCCGAGAAAAACTAATTTGGGTTGATTTACGGCCCCAAATCTTGTAGGGAGTGCAGTAAACTTCTATGGGACAAAATTTTAAGGCTCTACATACAAAATTTGTGCTATGGGAGTTTTAAACTATAGCAGTTGACGGGAGAAAATTGACGGGAAAATTTAGAGGGGGGTGACTTTTTTGTACACCCAGGATTTTTTTAAAACATTTGTGACAGAGCAATGGGGGAAAAACCTCCTTGATTGTTCTTCCCAGTGGGAAAAACCAAATTAAAAAATCTTGGGGGTTAAATGATGAGTTGGGGGAGAGTGATCAAAAATAAACCGTTTTAAATATCGGAATTCCCCTAATAGGGAAATCAATTTCCCGCCCCTGACTTTCGCTTGGTGTTTTCATAGGACAAAAAATTACTTGGGTGGCGAACGGAATGCCCGACTGGGGGTCAGGTGGGTGGTGAGGTTGCCGATATGATGTTTTCCGGGGCATATTTGCTGCTCACAAATTATTTTCCAAATAGGGAAATCAATCAAACAAAAAGATCCAAAATGGATAACAATAATTAAAATATCGATTGGTCAAAAGAGAGGCATATATAGCCAAATAAAAAGAGGAGGGGGGCAATTAAGAAATCGATTTTTCAGTTAAAGAGAAAAAAAAAAGGGAAATTAGAAAAGCAAATAAAATTTTTGAGTTAAAAGTTGCAAGAGAATCAAAGACAACCCAAAAAGGATTCTTTCAGGAAAACAGAAGTAAGATCAGGGAAAAGATACCCCCCTCAAAATTTCCCTCGGGTCGCTCACTGCATGAAAAGGAAATGTGTAAATTTTTAACACAACTTCCCTCAGTTTTTAAAAAGGAGGATCCCAGCGATATTCCATAATAAAAAAAATTTATGTAGAACAGGACGTAAAAAACTTGCACTATTAGGGTCCAAGTGACGGGGTCCTTAGGCAAAAATAAATTTAAAACCTAACAAACCCCCAGGCCCTGATGAACGTATGAAGGGGTTCAAAGGAATGAAAAGAGGAGCTTAGCACACCTTGGCTATCTTTTCAACTATCACTACAAAAACTGGCAGGGTCCCAAAAATGGAAAATGGCAAATGTGATACCTTTTTCAAAACAGGTGACGGGTCCTTAGTTTCGACCTATAGCCCAATAAGCCTAACCTCCATAGGGGAAAATTTAGGAAATCAAAATTTGCCGGGGCAGTTCGTGCCCCCTTTTGAAAAGCAAAAAATTAATCAACGAATCTCGCATGTTTTTACAAAGGGGCTTTCCTGCCTTACGAATTTATTAACTTTTTTCACTAAGGTATTTGAGGGGGTAGATCTGGTAATAAATATGATATTGTGTATATGGACTTCAGTAAGGCTTTTGAAGGGTCCACTCAGAGACTATTGAGGAAATTAAAGCATGCGAATAGGATGAGAAATTTTTTCCTGGATAGAGCATGGTTGACAAATAGGCAGCAGAGGTTTGCATACATGGGGATATCAGAGTGGGGAAGCGTCCCCCGAGCAGGTGTTCACAGGGTCATGTTGGGCCCCTTGCTGTCACAATCTCTAAACGAAATAGATGAGGCCTAAGGCGACATCGGCAAGTTTGCCGATGACACCAAAATAGGCCGTCGAATTCATTCTGACGAGGACATTCGAGCATTCCAGGAAGATTTGAATAGATGATGCAGTGGTCGGGAAGGGCAGATGCAGTTAATAATGACCAAATGCAAAGTTCAAATGTTGGTCAGGACAATAACCAGCCACTATAAACTAAATAGTGTAGATCTTAATATATTACGGATTGGAAAAGTTTAGGATTCTGCGTTAGCAGTAATCTGAAACAGACAACAGTGCAAAGTTGTTCGCATCAACTAATAGAATCCTTGGCTTATATCAAAGCTAATAATAGGAGTCCTCAG